GGATTTTTACAACTATGTTCATCAAATATATTGGCCTGTAGTTTTCTTCTTTTGTTGCATCTTTGTCTGCTTTTGGTATCAGGGACATGCTGGCCTCATAGAAGAAGTATGGGAGAATGGCCTCTGTTTCAATTTTTTGGAATAGTTTGAAGAGAATTGGTATTAATTCCCTTTAAAGGTTTGGTAGAACTCAGTGGTAAAGCAATCTGATCCGGGACTTTTCTTTGTTGGTAGACTGCTGATTACTGCTCTAATCTCATTGCTTGTTATTGGTCTGTTCAGGTTTTCTATCTCTTCTTGGTTAAGTCCAGGTAGGTTGTATATATCCAGAAATTTATCCATTTCCTGCAGGTTTTCAAATTTGTTAGCATATAGATGTTCTTAATAGTCTCTAATAATTCTTTGTATCTCTGTAGATCGGTTGTAATTTCTCTTTTTTTCATTTCTGATTTTTGTTATTTGGATCTTCTATCTTCTCTTTTTTCAGTTAGCCTAGCTAATGGTTTGACTACTTTGTTTATCTTCTCAGAAAACCAACTTTTTGTTTCTTTGATCTTTGTATCATTTTGGGGGTCTCTATTTCATTTAGTTTTGCTTTGATCTTAATTATTTCTTTCTGTCTGCTAATTGTGGCATTGGATTGTTCTTGTTTTTCTAGTTCTTTGAGGTATAGCATTAGGTTGTTTATTTGAAATCTTACTATTCTTTTCCTGTAAGCATTTATTACAGTAAAGTTCCCTCTTAGTACTGCTTTTGCAGTATCCCACAGGTTTTGGTATAATGTGTCTTTATTCTCATTAATATCAATGAATTTTTAGATTTCCTGTTTAATTTCTTCTTGGACCCATATGTCAGTCAGGAGCATGTTGTTTAATTTCCATGTATTTGTAGAGTTTTGCTTATTACTGATTTCTAGTTTTAATCCATTGAGGTTTGAAAAGATACTTGAAATGATTTCAATTTCTTAAAATTTGTTGATACTTGATTTTTGACCTAATATGTGGTCTATTTTGGAGAATGTTCCATGTGCTGATGAGAAGAATGTATATTCTGTAGTTGTTGGATGAAATGTTCTGTAGATATCTCCCAGGTCCAATTTTTCTAAGGTATAGTTTAAATCCTATGTTTCTCTGTTGATCTGTTGCCTAGATGATCTGTCTAGTGCTGTCAGAGGGGTGTTTAGGTTCCTCACTGTTATCATTTTGGGGTCTATCTCTTGCCTTAGGTCTAATAGTGTTTGCTTCATATATCTGGGTGTTCTGGTATTGGGTGCACATATACTTATGATTTTTATGTTTTCTGGTTGGACAGATCTCTCTGTCATTATACAGTGGCCTTTTTTGTCTCTTTTTACGGTTTTTGGTTTAAAGTTTATTTTAACTGATATAAGAATAGCTACTCCTGCTCATTTTTGGTATACATTTACATGGTATATCTTTTTCTTTACTTCTCTATTAGTCTGTTTGTGTCTTTATAGGTGAGGTGAGTCTCTTGTAGACAGCATAAAGTTGGGTCTAGCTTTTAAATCCAATCGGTCAGTCTGTGTCTTTTGAGTGGGGAATTTAATCCACTTACATTTAGAGTTGTTATTGAAAGGTACTGTCTTATGCCAGGCATTTTATTGATTTTTGTTTGTATGTTTTAAATATCTTTTGTTCCTTTGTTCCCCTTTTTTTGTCTTTGGTGTTTGTTGATTTTTGAAGTGGTAAGATATAGTTTCTTTCTCTTTCTTGTTTGCATTTTTGTTCTACCAGTGGATTTTGTTCTTTCTTGTGTATTCATGGTAATGATTACCATCTTTTGGATTCCAGATGCAGGACTCCCTTGAGGATTTCTTGCAGAGCTGGTTGTGTGGTGAACTTCAGCAATTTTTGGTTGTCTGGGAAATACACTATTTCTCCTTTATTTCTGAAGGATAGCCTTGCTGGGTATAGTATTCTTAGCTAACAGGGTTTTTTCTTTTAGTATTTTAAATATATCATCCCATTCTCTTCTGGCCTGTAGAGTTTCTGTTGAGAAGTCTGTTGTTAATCTGATGGGGACTTTCTTATAGGTGGCTTGACACTTTTCTCTTGCTGTTTTTAGGATTCTCTTTTCTTCTTTGATTTTTGCCAGTTTGACTAGAATGTGTCTTAGCGAGGACTTTTTTGAATCAAATCTGTTTGGGAATCTTTGAGCCTCCTAAGACTGAAGGTCTGTGTATCTTGCTATATCTGGGAACTTTTCCACTATTTCATTGAATATGTTTTCAATGCCTTTTCCTTTCTCCTACCCTTCCAGAACACCTATGATTCAGATGTTTTTGCACTTAAGGTTGTCTGCTGGCTCTCTTAGATTTTCTTCATTTTTATTCTTTTTTTTCTTTCATCTGCATGTGTTATTTCAAAAAGATTGGCTTCAGGATCAGAAATTCTTTCTTCTGCTTGCTCTAGTCTGCTGTTAAAACTCTCAATTGTATTTTGTTTTATTTTGTTGAATAAATCCTTCAGTTCTAAGTGTTCTGCTACATTCTTTTTTAAGGTACTAATCTTTGTAAATTTCCTCCTTTATATCCTGGATAGTTTTTCTCATTTCATGTGTTATCTAATTGAGTTTCCTTATGATTGTTGCTTAGAATTCCATTTTAGTCATTTCAAGGGTTGCCTGCTCTCTGGGGTCTAGTACTTGAGAATTATTCTATTCCTTTGGTGGCATCATATTTTCTTGTTTTTTCATATTTCCAGCATTTCTACATTGATGTCTGGTCATCTGGTAGAGCAGTTGCTTCTGTTATTCTGGAGTGGGCTTTGAGGAAAGAGACTTCTTCTTGTAGATGTTTTTTATATTGACCATTGAATAGGGTGTTTTAGTATTGGTTCTGGGTAGATGCAGTAGTGTAGTCTCCATGTGGGTATTTGGCTGTATTCAATGTCAGAGTCGTGTGTGAGTGTCTCCATGGCCTAAGCACTATGGCACTTTGTGATCCCCTGCTGAGGTTAGTGACTCTGTGTTAGGTCATCAAGGATGTGAGTGAGCTCACAAGTTCTTGGGAGAAGTGCCTGGGTGTCCCGTTAGTCTTTGACTGGGGTGGATGACTCTGGGCTGGCTTGTTGGCACCCCAGCTAACATCTCATGACCCACTAGGCACACTGGGGTATACTGGAGCTCCTTAGTTTGAATGGGTGACCCTGGGTCAGGCTGCTCTTTCCTCTTTCCTACAGCCATTAACTCCTCCTAGGTCCTTGCTTCCCCCAGTTAGGAGATGGGTTGGTGTTGGTTGGGAATTTTCTTCTTTATTCTATTTGGTTATCCTGGGTTTCTGCACTCTCCAGGGGGTCTGCATATGTCTCTCACTGGATTAAAACAGTCATGTGGGCTACACACATACTCCCTAGTCCAGGTATGCTACATGGGGGGGGCAGTATAATTGCCCCTATGGGTTAGGCCACTGGGTTGTATGTCTGCACTCACTCACCTCTGTCCTCAGGCTCCACTGGTGACCCTGTAGTTGAGTGGTCAGCAGGAAAATCTGCATGGTGGTGGTGACTGCTGTTGTGGTGGCAGGCCACCCTTGTGGTGGCAGTGGCAGCAGGCTGCTCTTTCAGTGATGGTGGCTGTGGAAGTGGCTGTGGCAGACCACCCATGCAGTGGCAGTGTCTGCAGCAGCATTGGGCTACCCATACAATGGTGTCCCACACTCCTGCTGTCTGTTGCTGGGCACTGAGGGCACTGCCCTCAGCTCCTCCCCCCATACTTCATAAAGTTCTAGTTCAACTTCTTTTTAGCAAATTATAAAACTAAATCAGATTTTATGTAAATTCAAATTTGCCTAAATGGGGAAAATTCTAATCTAAATTCCACTGCCTTTCACCTTTTGTTCGGCCCTCTGAAAGGACACAAAACACATCAGTTCTTCACCAGATAGTTCTTCAAATATTTGAGGCCAATTCTCATCTCCTTCTGATCTGTTCCAAGCCTAAAATTTTTTAGTTTCTTCGATCAGTTTGAGATTTCTGGTCTAACACCATTGTTGTCCCTATCTTCATCACATGTCATACTGTGTCAATGTTACTTTTACACAATTGTGGCCCTCAGTTTAACAATATTTCAGACATGGTCTACCATATAGACATAACACTTACATACTGTGGTCTATGGTTGAGTTGGCTTTTCTAGCAACCCTTGGTCTATAACTTCCTTGTGTAAAAATGTTTCTACAAAATTCTTCCACCATCCAACCTATAAATGGCTATAGAGAAAGCCCTTCCTATTCTATATTTATACCACTGATGTTTTTAATCAAGCTCAGGATATTGTTTTTTATCTTTGCTAAATTTTATCACATGAATGTCAGAGCTTTGGTCCAGCCTGCTTGACTTATTAAATTATGTTTCAAATACCCATCTCCATTTGAAGAAGAATGAGGAAAATATGTCAAGAATCTCAAATACTACATTATTATTTCAACAGGTGAAAATAGTCCTCATTAAGAGTGCTTAATTTCAAATCCAGGCCTGAAATTTAAGATCTATTAGTGATATTTCTGTAAGGTTTGTTTTTGCTTTTTCTTTGTTTTTCTATCTTTTAATTTTCCCACTGGAAAAGGGTCAGAGCACAAGTAGATTGCCTGCTACACTGGCTGCATGGGTTGGCAGTATGTATTATTTATAATAGTCAAAACCTTTTCAAATGATGATCGCATTAGGGGAGTTCTTTGCATTGAAAAAAAAATGGTAAAATCTATACAATGATTAGCTTGTGTCTGGCCATCTAAGTGGGTGAAGTGACCCACTGTCAAGGATGTCCAGGCTGGATCTTGCTCATGTCACCAACATCTCACCCTTGCACTTTGTGTATGGGAGCTCCCCATGTTCTTATTGGGAGCCCCAGGCCTGCTGGGGGTTTTCTGAAACAGAACTCTATACCTTCCCATGATCTCCACAATTCCCAAAGGAAAGGCCTCACTGGTATCCTGAGCAAGGGCAGGAAGCTCATGGGTGGAAGTAAGGGAGAACACATACCTTTCAGCCCCTTCTTGGAATTGCCATAAAGTGCCTCATAGATCTGTAGCTCTGACTGGAGGGACTGGAAGAGCTGCTGTTTTTCTTCACACTGTTGTTGCAGGAGGGCCAGCTTGTGCCGTAGCCTGCCAGGGGAGAAGCAAGGGCCCACTGAGATGGCAGGGCCCCTCAGCCACACCAGGGCAATAAGCAATGAGCCACCCTTTGCAACAGAGAGCTTTAGCCCCAGATGTCGACTCAGGGATCATGAAGACCATCATTTTTATCTCGCAGATTTGTAAATAGAGGTTGGGCAAGGTAAAGTAACTTTGCTTAAAGTCATACCATTGGCTACATCAGCTAGGAGCTGAACAGATACACCAGCACTCGACTCAGGGATCATGAAGACCATCATTTTTATCTCGCAGATTTGTAAATAGAGGTTGGGCGAGGTAAAGTAACTTTGCTTAAAGTCATACCATTGGCTACATCAGCTAGGAGCTGAACAGATACACCAGCACTGTCTTCTTAAGGCTCCTACAGTGCTATTCATGTTGACAAGCAGTTATAGGCCTTGTGTTGGGGACAAGCGTCATGGATGGGGTAGAAGCTTCTGGTTTATGGTGAGACTAATGTCCTATATCTAACTGGAAGCATGGCAATGTTCTTTCTCCAGTCTCTGATATGCTGAAGCCTTCCATAACAGGATTTTACTCCCTCAACTGTGGAGTGAAAAAGGCAATCCCAGAGAATTCCTTTCTTCTGCTCAAAGTCACACATAAATCAAGAACAAGACAGGGGAAACTGATGTTTCCGAAAGAGGACACTGTCTTGCCAATATTTCTTCTCCTAAGCCTGAAAATGGAGACACCATCCCTATGAAGGGGTCAGCTCTCACCTGGAGTCGTTTTTCTGGAGGGATAGACGTTCCTCTCTGAAATGCGAGATCTCCTGCTGCTTCTCCTTCAAGTCTTCCAAAAACTGCTGCCTTTGCACCTTCTGATGTTCCAGCTCCTTTTCCAGCTCTTGAAGGCGGGATTGGGAGGAGAGCAGAGCCTCTCTTAGGCATTCTGTTTCCTGGGAGTGCTCTGGGGAGCAAAGCACAGTAATATTTATATTTGGAGGCAGATCAGCAAGAAGAGGAGTCCAAGCACATCCATCCTGACAACCAGAATTAAGACAGAGGGAAGGAAGGCTCTGTGTTGGTGGGCAAAGAGAGTGTTAGCTCACTGTATTCACACACCCTGGGGAATGTGCACCTCCATCTTTGCAAAGTCCTTCATTCCAATGATTTACTATGGCCTATCTTGCTCTTAGAGAAAACATTGTGGTTGCTATCACTCACCATTTTCTAAGTGCTCACATACCATCTGGTCAATAAATCCATTCTTTAAGTTTGCCAAAGATCAAAATCAAGATTTCTTATGTATCATTTTCAGAATACATTTTTGTCATGTTTTTGAAAATTGGGATGTTTGTTCTTTTTTGAAGTTGCAGCATGTTTGTAATCTTCACAAATTCTCAAAGATTATTGAGAGGGACTTTGTAGGTTCAGTCAGCCCTCTGGGGAGGAATTCACCTGGGCCTGGCAAATTGTACTTATTTAAAACTCTTACTTTCTTCTCACCTGTGAGGTCTGTCTAGTCTTCCCAAGCATGCAATAGCAGTTTAGTAGTTCTGCCTTCTTTCTTATCTATTAACTTTTCTTATCTTCCCCAAGCAGTGACCTTTCCTCTCAAGTCTTCTTGCTCTGGGTGGCTAATTTAGAAATATTTCTTGATGTCTTTTTCCTTTTCCACAAGCATTCCTTCATTCTGGGCTTAATCCTTTTGGATACTATTCTTAGTCTTTTTATGGCTGTTCAGTAAATATTTGTAAATAAAAATAATTTGTTATTGATAATACATTGATTTGATTAAGTCAATTAACACTAAGGTCACCTGTCTCCCACATGGGAAATGATGCCCATGTATGGATGCTCACTGAATAGGGCTGGGCAAGTTCTGGAGGACATTTGCTTGTGCATCCCAATGTGAAGTCTTAGAAGTACTGATAGAGAGGAGCCCTGAGTGTATGAGTGAGGGAATATGGTGAGGAGGTAGAGGGATGGCAGAACAGGACGAGGAAGGACACACAGAGCTGCAGTAAAGTCTGGAGGAACATGAGAAGAATACAGGCACTTGCATTCCTTCCTTTCCTGGATCCAAATCAGCTCTGAGTAGGGGGAAGGTAGAACAGATACCAAACTGGTATCCAGTTTGATAGCTAGTGACTCTGGGTCCATGCAGGTGGGCTTGAACAGACGTGATGGATTTCCTAGAGCTATTCATTCCAGAGCACAGGAGTGTGAGGGCCCATAGTTGGGACCTCTTAGGAAACAGCCCTTTCTAGACTGAGAATAGCTATAACAATTTGGCCTTGGTGGATCTGGGCAGCTCTGTTATCTCCACCTTCTTTTCTTTGCTTCTCCAACTGATGATTGGTGTGGCCAAGAAGAAAAGGACCTAGGAGTGACCACAGTTTGTGGTTTTTGACCACCCACCTCTGGAAAGGTGATTCAGCTGAGCCTGAAGGCTCCGGTTTTCTTCCCTGAGGACTCTGTTCTCATTGTAGAGCTGAGGTATGGACTCCAGGCCCTGACTGTAGAAGTTAGTGGTGGATCCTGTCCCAGAAAGTATACATTTGGGTAACAGATGCTTTCAAAAGTTTCCCATTCTGTATCACACAAAGATACTGTCCCAACCCAGCAAAAAACCCTGGGGACTCAAGGCCTGGGACTAAATAAAGCATGATGAGCTGAATGCCTGGTTTTTGTGTGCCTCTTCTCAGAGGATTCTTTGTATGCATTGTCATGTGCCATAACTGCAATTGTGCAGGAGGCCCTTTGTCTAAATAGCTGCTGCCGTACTGTGGGTGGGAAAATGATGCATGGGAGAGATGGCCTGTAAGTGACAGCAGCTTGTGAGGAGAATGTGGGAAGAAAGACCAGCTTGGTAAAGTGGCGGGGGGAGGACCCTTGCAGACCTGGCTCTACCACTTGCCAGTTACATGACAAGGGCACAGAGAATCAGCAGGCAGTATATAAGCATATTAAGGATGGGGTGAGAAGTTAGGTGACTCTGGGGACCAGACTTAGTTCTTCCTTGAGGAAAGTTACTCTCTAAGTTCAGATACATCCATAAAAGCAGGCAGTATATAAGCATATTAAGGATGGGGTGAGAAGTTAGGTGACTCTGGGGACCAGACCTAGTTCTTCCTTGAGGAAAGTTACTCTCTAAGTTCAGATACATCCATAAAGTAGAATAACAATACTTGGTCCCCCTCCCTTGCTGGACTGTTTGTAATGAGCAAGTGAAGTAAAGCATACCAAAGTGCTTTGAAAACTGTGAAGCTCTGCCTATGGGCCCTCCCTCCAGAAGCTCCCTAAGTATGGCCAGAAACAGGAAGACCTGGGCCTCTCCTACCACTTCCACGGGTAGTAGAGCTGAGCCGGTGTTCCAGCTGCTCCCGCAGGCGGTCATTGATGCAGATGGACTCCTCCAGGCGCTGGCGCAAGTTCCGGATTTCACTGAGATGCTCTTCCAACAAGTCAGCACCTGCAGCCATCCCACCAGGACATGAAGAGAGGTGGGAGATGGAGAATCCTGGTTACTAGTTGAGGTAGGGGGTGGGGCTAAGGCAGGGGCCTCTCAGTAAGACTCCTAAATATCACCAACCTTCTGCCAACTGTACCTTCTACATGGGTACCCAGGGGACAGATAACTTTGTTTATAGAGTAAGTGGGCTTTCAAACACAAGATGGCCCCTTGGTGAGGAAACCCCATGGGCCTCCCCAACACAGGGATCTGGTAAGTGGAAGGGAGTTCCACATGTTTTAGAAAAATAACTGAAGGCTCTGGATAGGGCCTGCATGGCATCTGGAAACGTATGGCTAGCTCCTGGGTGTAAGTTTGAGGATGACAGAAAGACCTCACTCCACCTTTCTTCTGATACCTTCCTTCTCACTCATATATGACTGAACACTGTTTAGCAAGGCACAAAGCCATTCCTCCCACCTTTACAGAGAAGGCATAAGGTAAAAGTTCATGACCTCAAACTCACCCTATGTGGCTAATGACTGATACTGAATTTTTCCCTCAAATAACTTTTAATATAGTAGGAAGAAAGGAGAGCCTGCAAGGATCTAGGGATATGAAAGTGGACTNTCCTTCTCACTCATATATGACTGAACACTGTTTAGCAAGGCACAAAGCCATTCCTCCCACCCTTACAGAGAAGGCATAAGGTAAAAGTTCATGACCTCAAACTCACCCTATGTGGCTAATGACTGATACTGAATTCTTCCCTCAAATCACTTTTAATATAGTAGGAAGAAAGGAGAGCCTGCAAGGATCTAGGGATATGAAAGTGGACTAGAGAAGAGGAAGGAACACCCCCAAGGAAAGACAAAAGATGCAGAAAAGAGAAGTAGGAAGGATGCTAATGACAGACTACATCGACTGCACCATTTTGCTCTGGGATCAGTCTTTTTTCTGAATATTAGAATTGTCTTACTAATGGAACTGAGCTCCATCCCAGCATTAGACTGCTTAGCTACACCTCTCCAGTAGTATTACTGATTTTATTATTGGGATGGGGAAGCTGTGTCCCTTTCTGTAACAATTCTTGACTGATGGAAGAGAGTTCCTGTGAATGTCTATGCTTGGCATTCTGGAAGCATCTAAGAGAGTGGGCTGTGAGGAGGTCAGGGTGCAGGAAGAGAGAAGGACATCAATATGAAAGCACAAGAGCTGGGTCCCTGACCTTCCCATGTCCTTGCAGAGCACTGAGACCCTGGGCAGGGAGAATGAAGGATTAGTACTCAGAAAGGATTGAGTACTGACACACCCCTTTCATTTTATACCCATTCTGTGAGCCAAGGACTAGAGGAGAAATTTAAAAAAGCCTTGCCTAGGTAAGAAAAGAGTAGACTCTGGATGAGATTTCATTTCAAAGGCTGACCCTCTCAGCTTTGTGCTTTACCTGTGGGTTTGGAGTTAAGCTGGTAAACAGAGGAGCCTGAGGTCAGGTCCCCAGATATACTCCCCTTCTGAGGCCTCATAATGTCCCACTGGCCACTGCTGCCCAAGTACCCAGGCTCCAGGATTCTTCCCAGTTCTATGGTACCCCTTAGAGGAGAGTGAGGCTGGGCAGGGTTGAGGTAATGGGAACAGCTGGCTTCCAAATGGTTTCTTGGCAAAGTAGCTGTGGAAGCAGGAGGAACAGTGCTGACACCTGGGCAAAAAGAAACATGAGTGAGAAATAAACAGGGTGTCAGAAGGAAAGGATCAGCAAGGAAGCATGTGATTATTAGGAATGGAGACTAAAAGGAGACATGTGGGATGTCAAAGATCCCAGTCCACTGTGGAACACCAATTAGATGAAGACTCATAACCTAAAAGTTATAACTTTCACCCTTTGTATTTCCCAGCATGAGATACCAAGAGGTAAAGGATGGATAAAGTATCTGAAAACTACCAGTGTACATGAAGGAAAAGTCCAGTGGCCCCACTCAAGGATCCTACTATAATTCCTCATGACAAAGTCCAGGGAAGTTACAGAAGTAGGACTCACTCCAAGAATTAGGGGTCAAGAGAGTAATGGGATATAGTATTGAGCATACCTTTGAGAAACATTTGTTTGCCTGTGAATACTTGCCTTCCCCAGAAGCTAACCAGTTTCTCCTTTGTGGTTTTCAGAGGAGAAAGGGGACATGAAATTCAGCTGGATATGTGGCCCCAATTCCTCCATACTGAAGAACTCTGCTGAGGCTGGGGAAGGTTCTGTGTAAGGCAAGTGGTATTTTGGATCCCATCGAATGTGATTCAAGGAACTGCAAAATGTCATCACTCTTGTCCAGAGAATCATTGAACACTATTTAAAGGAGGGAGGTAAGACCTTTCATTTCATAGGCTGATGCGTTCATGGATCCTATGAAACCACAGGCCTTCCTCTTGAGCCTCATCATCTCTGTTTCTATGTAAAATGCAGCCCAGAATGGGACAAAAGAAAGAGAGTTGGGCGGGGCCATAGTTTAGGAAAAAATTCAGAAGTCTGCTTTCTTCCAGGGATTATCAACATAGGCAGCAGAACAGACAGATAGCTCCCCCTAGGCAAACAGGAGTGAAGTCTCCATGTTCTACAACCAAGTCAAACTCCTCAGAGGGGTTAATGCAATTGCCATTAGCCAATTTTTATCCCCATTTGTAACTGGTTCTCAAATTTGACTACATACAAGAATCACCTGAGGAAAGGTTAAAAAAAAAAACACTGATACCTGAGCCCTTAGATATTTTGCCTTAATTGTTATGGGACACATCTTGTGGATGTCTTAAAATCAATCTAGGTGATTCTAATAGGCAGCAAAGTTTGAGAGGTATTATCATGGGTCTCTCCTTCTCCAATTTGTAAAATACTAGATGTTCATTAGGATCACTATGAGTTAAAGAGGGAGATGAAAATTTTAAGTGCCTAAATTTTAGTATGGATTCAGTAATGGTAAGATTTCCTACCTCTTTCATATCCCCACCAACCCCACCCCAACACAAGGCAAAGGGAGAAATCAGTGGTTGTAGGCAGTCAGCTTACTTTTTAACCAAGGTCATGGGAGGTTCCAATTCTATCAGTAACAGTGATCAGTATACTTATGTTTCACTCTCCCCTGGCAACACAATGTAGAGCACATGCCCTAAACCATGCAAAGACACCATACAGACTCTTGCACAAGGAGATTTTAGCCCCACAGACACCTGAGAAATCGCCATGCATGACTGTTGACATGGAAGATTAGTTCAGAGAAAACAATGAGCACTGGTAAGCAATGGTCCCTTGGAGAAGACCATGCCTTCAGTAGGAAAAGAAAGAGCTATAATCTTCCTCACCAAGGCTGGGACCATCCAAACTCTGGTCAGTCACCTCAGACTAGATGTGACCCCAATTCAGGGCACAACAACAGACCCATTTTCATGCACAATGCTCTCCTTTCAACCTTTCCTTGCAACAAAGACAAGTTGACAAATGTAGAAAGATAAAGGAAAAGAAGGCAAGGGAAAG